AGGTCCTCAAGTACGGCCCTTTGACTATCAAAGGACCTAGAGGGCACATGTGGCCTCGAGGCCCCAGGTTCCCCAGTCCTGCTGTAAACCTTCTTTGATCTCTGGACACTTCTTGTCCCCAGTAATTTTCTGAATATTACTGGAACAGGTCATCATTATCTTCCTGACAGTGGCCAAAGCAAGATTCTCTGAGCTAATGGATAAATCATGGCATATTCCCTGTACTTCTATGAGATAACCCAAGCCCTTGGATCCCTGCACTGGTTTTAACAATTAATAACTGGCCAAACAGGACTCAGGATAGGGACTGCCCCAAGGTGGAGGGATGGGGGTGGGGTAGGGAGAACACAACAAATGATTGAATCAACCAAGCATGTGTTAAGTATCTCCAACGTGTCAAGCAAATGAAACAATCCCTGCCCTCGAGGAACTTAAATTCTATCTAGAGAGAACATGTACATGTAAAAATATCTATAATGTGCAAAATAAATACAAGGTAATTTGGATGAAAGAAGACATTAAGTGCTCAGGAGACTAGGAAAAGCTTCATGGACAATACTGAGGTTGAGCTGAGCTTTGAAGAAAACTAGGGATCCTGAGAGATTGGGGTGAAAAGAGAGGGCTCAGGAGAGAGACAGGAGATGGATGGAGTGCCTTGTGTTTGGAAGAGAAGGAAGGGCAGCTTGGCCAGATTCTGTGAAGGGAAGCCCCCTCCTGACCTAACTCTCTAATTTAAAGCAGTTACAAACTTCCTTAGAACCAGAGGGATGGACAAAATGACCCCTGGAAGGCCCTGTGAGTCTGGGTTGTTGCTCTCCTGGTTACAACCACAGAGGAGTCTGTTTGGTTGGGTGAACCTAGAGTCATGTGTGAGTTCCAGAGTCTGAACTTGGGGTCCCTTCCCCCAGCTCTTCTCACCTCTCCTCCTTCTCTCCCAAAGATTCCTTCCCCCACTGACTTAATTCCTTAGTTGTACTGCTGTCATGGTTACACCAATGAGGCTTATTAAGAAGGAAAAAAAGCAGTCAGTATGCACCTTGCGTCATTCCCAATTCTGCCCAGTGGGAAAGGTGGACAGTACTCCAGGTCAGAAACCCTTAGGGCTGAGGCACATTTCAATGAATAAGAAGCTAGACTAGGCATCCTCCACTGGGAGGTTCTGGGAGAAGGGCCTAGAGAGACTTTTTAACATTTACCATAGAAGTCAGTGTTCCAAAGCCACGTATCTCCCTCTCTCCTGACACCCAACAGATGCAAATTCATGAGAACAAACTCAGAGAGAGATAGCCACAAGGCAAAGCTTCCACACAGTCTTCTTCATCTTCTTTTGCCAGGGAGGAGAGGAATGGGGAGCAACTGGGGTTAAGTGACTTGCCCAGGGTCACACAGCTAATAAGTGTCTGAGACTGGATTTGAACTCAGGTCTTCCTGACTCCAGGACCAGTGCTCCATCCACTGCACCACCTAGCTGCTCCCGCATAGTCTTTTTTCATTAAAAACACACATTTATGGAGTGCCTACTATGGGTCCAGCACTGTGCTAGGTACTGGAGGGAGGTACAAAGAAGCATGGTAGTTCCTCAGGGACCTTGAAATCTAGTTGGGGAGATATGTGCAAAACACCTGCAGCACAAGCTAATAGATAAGAAGGGCCGTGTTAACTGGTGCTTCAGTTCCATTCAGGTCATTTGCCAATGATCCATTGCTGTGCTAGACACCAAGTAATAAAAACAAAATGAAGAAGCCCCGCCTGAGAATTGGGGGGTGGGGATGTCCAGAGAAAAAAGAGCACTTAAAATAAGGTGATCGATAACACTTAGATATAGTTTAAATCAGTAAGCTCCCTGAGGATAGGAATTGTCTGGCACTTAGCACAGTGCCTGGCACATAGTAGGTGCTTAATGAATGTTTATTGACTGACTGTCCTATTTCTGTCTTTGTACCCCGAGCCCAGATCTTTTTGGGGGGGGAGAAGGAGTCCAGACTTGAGAGAATAGTGAAATCCCAGTGTGAAAACTCCCTCCACCAAGACAAATAGGCAACTCTATAACTGATAGTCTTTGAGAACTTTCTAGGTTTCCCAGGATCTCACAGCTAGTATGTAACAGGGGCAGATTTTTCCAACTCTGAGGCTAACCAGAGCTCTCTCCACCATGGTAGGCCACCTCTCATGCCAGATACATAACAGATGCTTAATAAATACTTGTTGCAATGAATAACTACTAAACCAGTCATACAGACATATGAAAATAATGTCTCCCATTCACTTGATACTTTGTAGTTTACAAAGTACTTTTTTTTTTTTTTGGTGAGGCAGTTGGGGTTAAGTGACTTGCCCAGAGTCACATAGCTAGTGAGTGTTAGGTGTCTGAGGCTGGATTTGAACTCAGATCCTCCTGACTCCAGTGTTAATGTTCTATCCACTTCACCACCTAGCTGCCCCATACAAAGTACTTTTCATAAGACAACCTTGGGAGGATACTTGAGAGTTTGCCTGCTAAGATTTACCAGAGACTATATGGATTTAACTATAAAACATTCTTTGCAGAAATAAAGATAGAGGGGCAGCTAGGTGGCGCAGTGGATAGAGCACCGGCGCTAGAGTCAGGAGGACTTGAGTTCAAATCTGGCCTCAGACACATAACACTCACCAGCTGTGTGACTTAACCCCAGTTGCCTCATATAAATAAATAAATAAAGATAGACCTAAATATTTAGAGAAACATTAATTGCTCATGGATAGGTTGAGCCAATATTATAAAAAATGACACTACTACTTAAATTAGTTTATTTATTCAGTACTATATCAAACTCCCAAAGAATATTTTATAAAATTAGAAAAAATAGTAATGAGATCCCTATGGAAGAACAAAAGGTCAAGAAACTAAAGGGCAGTAATGAAAAGAAAATGGAAAGAAAGGGGATCTATCAGTACCAGATCTTATACTGTACTGTAAAGCAGTAATCATTAAAATAATTTGGTACTGGTTTTAAAAAGAGAGAAGTCAATCAGTAGAACTCATTAGGTATATAACATACAGAAACAAACAGTAGCATAGTGTTTGATAAGCCAAAAGACCCCAGTTATTGATAGGGGAAAGACTCACTATTTGAAAACAGCCTGGGAGAAATTAGGTTTCACTTCACCACATACAAGATAAGCTCTAGATGGATACATGACCTAAATATAAAAGGTTGAATCAAAAACAAATGAAAAGAGAAAGGAAGAAATTACCTTTTGGATCAATGGATCTATAACTAAAAAAGAAATCAAGAAAAACTCACAAGATAAAATGGATAAACATCATTATTGTTATCATCACACTGTTTTGGGCAGAACAACATGAAATCAAATGCACAGAGGTGGGAAAGTACAGGATGAAGGGCCTTGAATACCACAAAAAGATATTTAGACTTTACTCAGTTGACAAGGAAGTCACTAAAGAGTTTAAGGCAGGAGGACAAGACAGATCTATGTTTGCACAGAAGAATCACTCTGTCAAAGATATGAACAATAGGGGAGAGAAATAAATGGGAGAAGAATGACTTGAGAGGAAGGAAGACCTCTTCTGAGTTTAAGCCCAGTGCACAACACAGGGAGATCCTTTCATATTGACACAAACAAATGAAGACCTGTGCTGCCTGTATATATGTATATGGCATGATCGTTCTTTAGTCAAACAAATGTGAGTGACCTTATATAATCATCATCATCATCACCATTTATATAGCTATTTAAAGTTTGTACAACACTGTGTATGCCACTTCAGTTGATCCTCCTAACAAGCCTGGGAGGTAGATGTTATTATTATCCCCATTTGACAGATGAAGAAACTGAAGCTGAGAGCGATTAAGTCCAAGGTCACATAGCTAGTAAGTATCTAAGGTGGGATTTGAAATCAGATCTTCCTCACTGCAGGTCAAACACTGTCTCCACTCCAAGAGCTTCTTCCCTAAGCCTACATAAAGGTAGCATGTCAATATGTCAACTCCAGTGATTAAGTACAGTATCTGAGTTGCCCACTAGGTAGCATCCTCCTTGAGCCACCAGCCCAATCTTCTCCTCAGCCTCTGGCACATTTATGAACTAGCCTTCCCAAAAGACTGAAATATGCCCTCTGCTCACCAGAGGGTGCTCAGCCTGAAGACAACTAGATTGCCTTCTACACTACCCAGATTTAAAATGGTAGCCGTGGCCATGTCTTACATTTAGTCTAGAAAATGAAATGGAATATTACTCAAAATAGTCAAATAGTTTGCTCCATGATGTGTACATAACTCCAGAATCCCCACCTCATTTGTCTGGGATCCCTCCTGTCTGCTGATGACTCCCTCTACATCCACAGGACTCTGATATTTAACACACTGTGATTACGCAGTTTGTTGAGCACAGCCAAAAAAAGAAATAAGTCAAATATACCCACCTATCACCATCTCCTAAGCCTTCTCCTGCTTGCGCTCCCACATCTTCAGAGAGACAATTCCCAAATCACCCATAGCCATAGGAAAGGAATAAGGAAAGAGTATGGGAGGGTGAGAAGGGAGTGACCTCTCATCTCGAGACCATAGACTACTTGAAAGAGAAAGCAGACAAGATGGTGTTGGAAAACAATATCCCCTTCTCAGCTTATTATTAGTCCAACTGAATTCACAGTAGCTGACATCTTGGCACTTGGGATAATCTTTTGTCAAAGTTGCCATCTCTCCTCCAGGATCTCTGCCCAATATCATCATCTCTTTCATAGCTCAGGTCTCTGGCAGCCTCGGTGTCTGGCCAGTGAAGTCTTTGGCCAGAGTAGTAGGGGTAGCAATGGCAACCCGCACCCTGTGATGTAGACAGTCCTGCAGTGCAGCATGCTCAGACTACTGTCCTAGGCCACATTCCTAGACCTCAGCTCTGAATGGAAGGAGCTCACCACCACACATGAAAATAGCCTCATGAGAGCAGCCTCAGTCCTGTGTAAACCGGCCCTTAATGATCTCTGTCTCTCTCAATTACAGAAAGCCCGCCTTGCCAGGATCCGTGTGGCCAAGACTGGTAGTTCCAATGCCTACCTGCACAGCAAGAGGAATGGTCTTCTCAATGAAGCCCTGGAACTGACAGTCAGTATCCTGGAATTGGAGGAAGGGGATAGGGGAATAGGAAGGGAGAGAGAAGAGCTGTGGTTTTCTCCTTCCCTCTGAGCCCTAGGTCCTTCTCCTGCTCATAGCTTATCCCCACCCCTTCCCTCAGGTAAGGAGTGATACTTCTGACCTTCCCCCAAACATCAGATCTACCAGAATTCACCTTATTAACCATCACCTCCAACAGACACACACACTCATTCTCTCTCTCTCTCTCTCTCTCTCTCTCTCTCTCTCTCTCTCTCTCTCTCTCTCTTTCTCCTGAGACTGCCAAGTTTAAGCTGAATTTGAAGAACTCTGAGGCCTGCCTGTTAAGACTTAATTCCTCACTTCATAGTTTCCCATCAAGGGGCATTAAGCATAACTAGGCCTGTCTCCTCAAAGGGGAAACTATTCCAAAGCGCTTTTCCCCTCTAATCAAACCACCAAGTACTTATTAAGCCCCTACTGTGTGCCGGGCACTGTGCTGGATGAGGCTACAAAGGCAAAAATGAAGAAGCTCCAGCCTTCAAGGAGCTTACAATCTAATCGGGGAGATAACATGCATATACAGGTACATTCAGAATGTGAACCAAACATATACAGGTTCACCTTGGGGAAGGGGGGATGGGCATCAGGAAAAGCCTCATGAAGATGGTGGTACTTTAACTGAATGTTGAAGACCAGAATTTCAACAGGTAGAGATGAGGAAGGAAAGCATTCCAGGCACAGGGGGACAGCACCCAGAGAAGGAAGATGGAGTGTCACGTGGGAGGCACAGACGGCTCCCGTGGCTTAACCCAGCGATGCTCCGAGTGTGTGCAATGGAACTCTAGCATGATTCAGATTTCACTAGGTGTGCCAAGAATCTCCTCCCTCTACCCCAAGACTTGCTCATTCCCCAGCCCCCTTCTCCAGCTGCAGTTTGCCACCTGCTTCTCCCAGCTTAGTCTTGGGAAGATCAGACAATCTATCCCAGTCCTGAGGAAGTACAGAAAAAGGACAGCAAGGAGGCCAGAGAGGAGAAAGAGTCTCACAGTAATCCCAAGGCCCCAGTGATGGATTAGTGGCTGGACTGTCCAGTAACCCTTCTTTGCTCAATGTGCCACAATTCCCCAAAGCAAAGAATATCGTGAAGTGAGGGGGGAAAAAAAAGAAAGCATGAAAGCAACTGGCTGAAATCCTTGCCAATCTGAAGCTGTGTGGGGCCATGCCTAGGTAGCTTGTATCTTACTTGTTCCGGGCAACATGCATCCCTCCATCGATAATTTCTTAGAAACTAGAGCACCCTCCTCATCCATCCCTATTCCCTGAGCCAAAGCAGCAAGTGGTGTGAGTGCCACTGAAATCTGCACATACCCTAGAAGTCAATAAACAATTTCCTATCACCCAGAGATTAAGGGGAGCCAGGGAGAAGGAGCCACACTCTTCTCCCTGCCTTATTGTGTCTCTTCCCTTGTCTCAGGGTTCCCCAGAGGATGAGCACCTGACCAAGACTACATCACTCATTGAGAGCCAGCATCACCACCTGCTGCATTGCCTGGAGAAAACTACTGTAAGTCTCCCCCTCCCCCACCTTAGCCATCCCTCCCAGCATTCAACTTCCCTTCTCCTAAAGGTATACCCTTAGTCTCAAGCCCAGCCCCAGATTGTAGGTACAGCCTGTCCCTCCACAGACCAAGATGGTGCCAGGGAATGGTGGGAAATTAACCATCCTCTCTCTCCCAGCATCAGCCCATGATCTCCACCTCCCTACCCTGAACTCTATGTGTCATCAATGATGGCAACTCTGCCATTACATACCTAACAGAGCAAGAGAAAAGAGGATTACCTTGGGATAATGAAAAGAGCTCTGGACCTGGGTTCAAATCCAGGCTTGGCCTGAGAGGCCTTGGGCCTTTAATTCTTTGAACTTCAGTTTTCGAATCTGCAAAATATAGATAATAATACTTGCCCTACCAAACTCAGAGAGTTTCTGTGAGGATCAAGAGGGATGAGGCATATGAAACAATGAAATAAATGCTCTATAAATGTGAGCTACTAAGCTATTATTATCTCCAAATTACAAGTGACTCGCCAGGGCCTGGGCTTTCAGATAAGACTGGAACTTACTTCCCATTCCAGCTACATATTTGTGGCCAACAGGAGCTATGGGGCAGGCTGTATGCTATCACGGTATGACTGATCTCCAACTCTAATGGGCTGACACATCACCCTCTAAGTAGATGCTACTGAGCCATCCCCTCCCCTATCTCCTCATTACCAACAGTGTGGCATTCTTGGCCTAGACAGCAGCAGCCCCACAGCACTCTTCCTGCACCCAGGAAAGGCTTCAGTTGGTGCCTTTTGGCCAGGCCCCTCTGATGCCCCCCCTTCCACCCATGTGGAAGGTGGTGGGGGATGGAAGGAGCTTTCTAAATGAAGATCATTATTACTGCCTCACTATCCCCAAAGCCCTGGAGAGGTCCAAGCCCTGAAAGGCTAACGAAGCAATACCAAGCCCTGGGTTAGGGGACCATAGCTGGAATGAGCTGGAATCAGATGCTTGGACCACCTAAATAGGACACGAATAGGACGGCAGCATTCACACTAAATGTTCCACAGTTCTCTGGTACCTTCCCTTCCCCAGACTGATTGATCAGCATGTCAGAGAGGCTTTCTGAGTAAGACTATCTAATACTTTCCCCTCTCAGGCCAGAGGGAAAGCGCTTTAAATACGCACTCTGCGGGTGGCATGTGAACCCCACAGAGGTTTCCAAATCCGGAAGCCTGAAGCAAACCCTGAAGTTTCCAGGCCTCACCAAATACTTCTTCCCTTGCCCCAGAGGACTGCATTTGCATGTCTTATGAGGCCCCTGGAATTCTCCTCCAGGACTTGGAACAATGCTAAAAGGACAGGCTCAGACCTAACTGCCCTTTCAAACTTGCATGTGCTAGATGGAATGTGGACATTTTAGAGGGGAGGGAGGGAGGGAAGAGGGGGAGTGGTTTGGGTTGAAGGGATGGAATGTTGGGACTAAGAAAACGGGGAGATGGAACTAAGGATAAGATATTGGGCTCTGAGGGGGTGGAATGTGGGGATTGAGGGGGTGGAATGCTGGGGATGAGGGGGCAGAATGCTGGGCTTGAAAAGTGGAATGTTGGGGCCTGTGGAGATTGAGGGGTGGAATGCCAGGATTGAAGGTGGAATGTCAGAGTTGAGCTTGGGAATGCCGGAATGTCCAATCAATGGTGTTTTTATCTTTTGTTGGCATGTTGTCCTGTAGGGGTTGTCCTATCTTGTGGATGATCCCCTGTTATCTGTACGAACTTCCACCATCAAGGTAGAGCTTTTTACAAATTCAATTCCTGTTTTTTCTCTCTGATTCCTGTGGCGTATGTGGACTGTTCTCTTTCTATCACCTGGTCTGGTTTCCCTGCATGCGCCGTCCCTTCTCCCTGGGGCCTGTCCTGCCCTCCGCTGTCACCACCAGTGCCGGCTCAGGCTTCCAATTTTCTGTGCAGATCTACTCAGCAACCTTTCTCTCCCAACCCTCTCCTTCTCCCTTGCTGGGGGTGTGGTGGGGGTGGTTGAACACGGCACTTGGCTTGGTATCCTGTGAGTGTCCGTGTGCCTTCTCTGTCTGTGCCACTTCCTTCGGTCCCCCGGGGATTCCCGGTTTTGGCTGTGGGGCTAGCCTTTGCTCCAATGTGACCTGTCCTCTTCACCCTGGCAGCCTTAGCCAGGCCACAGACAACCCCACAGGGCATCCTTTAGCCTTAGAAGATGTCCTTATCCATAGGTCCCTCGTTTGTCCAATTCTTTCTTGACTTCAGTGTGGAGGACCCCAGTCATCTCGAGTTCTCCCACCATGAGGGTGTTTGACTTTAAGGAGTCCCCATGTTCTCTTAACTAACAGCCCAACAACCTTTCCCTTCCCCTCTCAAAACAGCTATACTAGGAAAGCATATCCCTTGTTGACATTTAACCCTACTGCCATCATGGGGAGTAGCACTCCACCTGCTTTAGTTCATAAGCAACACAGAAACCTTTTTGTCTCCCCCTTCAATAACAATAATGACAAACATTTATCAAGCACCTACTATGTGGAAGCCATTGTGCTAGAGGGAGCAAAGTGTGACGCCTCAACCAACCTACCTCTACCTCTGGTGATATCGCCAAATCCCCTTCTGGTGACCAAGAAGCATGTTGGTCCACTAACCGCCCCCAGCCTAGGTCCCCACGCTCAAGCTTCTATGTCCCCCAGCACCCAAAAGTAAGCTCTGACCCACGATCATTCAAATACAGTTATAATTGTATACCCCTAACACCCTTCTGAGCCACAACTCCAGAAGGAGGACACAACACAATCCCACCATCATACCAACCTTTCACCCCCACCCCACTGTGATAGCCAGGGCTGCCAAGATGATTCCTTCTTTCCTCTCTCCACGCCTGTGGGATGTTACCTTTCATGAGTGTTCGTCTGTGCTCCAGTCTCCTGGGGGCCTACCCCTACAGAGCCCAGGACAAGACCCTCCAGTTTGTGTGTGAGGGAAATTCATCCCCCCCTCCCACTTCTTCTTCCCACATGATTCTCCGTCCTTCCCAACAGAACCATGAGTTTATCGATGAGCAAATGTTTGAGCAGAACTGCATGGAGAGCTCGATGCAGAATTACCCATCCACAAGAAGCCCTTCACTGTCCAGCCACCCGGGCCTAACCACTTCCTGCTGCTCCCGTAGAAGCAAGAAGACCACCCACCTGCCCAATTCCAACCTGCCTGCCACCCGTCTGAGGAGCATGCAAGAGCTCAGCACCATTCACATCCAGGGCAGCGAACAGCCCTCACTCACAACCAGGTGAGTATGTCCCACTCCCCCTCCTCACACAGGAGTCTCTGCCGTGGAGACACCAGCTTGGATCATTCCATGTCCTCCCTCCCTTTCCTTATGGGCTCTAACCCAAGAAGACAACATGACACCAGGTTGCTGTCAAGACTGGAGTTAGTAATCGGGAAGGCTATATTGAGGCTGCAAGATCCTTGCCCAGAGAGTAGACTTGTTTTCCCCTAGGGAAAACAACATTATTATTATAGTCAACTCTTATTTATTGAACAGATAGTATTTATACGGCACTTTAAAATTCATAAAGCACTTACTTCACTAACAATCCTGGGAGATAGATATACTCCCAATTTATTAAGGCAAGCAGTAAGTATTGTCTCAGCTGAGGCTGAGGACCAATGACTCCCTCTGGGTCACACAGCTAGTGTCTGAGGCAGGATCTGAACTCAGATCTTTCTCTTATCTACCTTGCTATCAGCTGACTTAGTTCCTATGATCTAATCAGTATTCTCTCTGCCAATGCAGACCACAATCCTATGCCCTAATAGGCAGCCGTTATGAACTGCTGCCAGCCAAAAAAAGTCAGCACCTGACTTTGAACCCCCTGATGATAATCTTTTCTGAACTTAGCTTCAGATGACAACCATCCAGTCTGGAGCTTGACCTGATAAGCCCTTCCAGCCTGGTAGTACCGGTGAGAGTTGGTACTGCCCTGGCCTAACCTTCAGGAACCCAACAAGGAGACATCACAGTAGGACTTCAGTGGATGGTTTGAAGCTTATGGACAACTAATTTTGAATCAAAGTCTGACTCTCCAGCCCTACACCTTACTGCCTTGTACACACCTAGGGGGAGGGGGAGGAGAGGATTAAGAAAGCAAACAGAGTGGGGAGGAGATTGGTCCTGTGTCTTCATCTTATAGGAAACACCCTGCAGCCTGGCACCTTGTCTCATTTATAGTCTTGAAGAATTGTCCAGGGCAATTGACAAGCTAAGTGGACCTGCCCATAGTTATGTAGTCAGTATGCGACAGTATGTTACGTATAATTTTTTTTAAATTAACCATTATTTTGGGGATCTTCTGAGCTCTGTTCAACTGCAGTAATGGGGTAAAATGAAAGCTGCCATGAATAAGAAACCTGGGAGTTTGAGGGAATCCTGGGTGGAAAGGAAGAGGCAGCCCCTTAATTCTTCTTTCTATCCACCCCAGTCGTTCCAGCCTTAATTTGAAAGCAGATGATGTACTGAGACCCAACTGCAAAGGATCCCAGATCACTACAGCCATCATCAGCATCCCCACCCCGCCAGCGCTGACCCCGGAGGGGGAGAGTCGACCGCCACCATCTAGCCCTGGCTCCACCACGAACATTCCCCCCATAGGCAGCAACATCGTCAAGGTCTCTGCCTTGTAAAGCCACTGAGGGAAGGGCTGGTGGAAAGGGTAGTAGGAGGGACAGGGAGGTGAAGGGAGCCTGTGGGGCCAGGCTGTTCCCTTCTCCTTCCCCTGCCGCTCCTGCCTGTCCTGGTTGTACCCCTCGCACTGAAACTGTGCCTGCAAGCAGGAAGGAGACACTTCTGCAGCCGCTGCCAGAGGGGACAGGGCCCCAGGCACCATTACCCCACTCTGGAGCCATGCAGAGGCAGGGCAGGGAGGCAGGGGATGGGGACCTGGGGAGGGACCATGTGCCAGGCCAAGGCCTGGTGGGGTGTGGTGGGGGGAGCCTCAGATCAAACTAATGATTGTTTCTGGAGACCCCAGCGAGGAAAACAAGAACGAGAGAGCAGCACAGAGGCCGAGAAATCACATGCAAAACAGGAAGGAAATATTAACACTGTGTATTTAAGCACCTTTTTCAAGGCTTTTAATGGATAATATTTATTCATGGGACATGACTGAAAAAAAAAGGTGGAAAACAAAGCAGAAAAACAACAGATTTTTGTGAAATGTTTTTCTCCATGGACCCAATACCTTTAACTAAACCAAAACAATGCATTTTATGAGTTCTTTTTTTTCCTCCTTTTATAATGAAGGCTTTAGGCCAAGATGTCAGTTGTTACTGAGTTTTCTCTCCTTTCCCCACCCCAGGTGGGCGAATCTGGGTCACTGAGCCTACTGAAGCCTGAGTGACCCACACAGTAGCCATGTGACCACATTGCAGCTCTTGCTCTCCAAATCTATCTTTCTGTCTCCTCGTCTCTTTGTACCTGGTCACTGCCTCTCCCTTTCTTTGTCTCTGTTCAGCTGTCTCTTTCCATGGCTCTCAGTACAACTTGGGTTTACAAATGGCCGCCTTGGCCACTGAAGTACAACTGTATGTGGTAAAAATCCACCTGCTAGTTAATGGGAAATTGTGCTTTAAAAAGCAAAAGAACAAAAAAACAAACAAAAAAACAGAATGGGGGGAAAGCCAAGAAGAGACAAGATGGCACTTCCTAGTCATCTGCCCCACTGGTATATCCAAAGCTTTGGTTGCAACCAAATTCATGAGCCTAGGATCTTGAAAAAAGGAAAAGATCATAGGGAATCTTGTATCCTGATGAATACCAACTAACAAAAGATGGAAGAGACACTCCACGGAGTACACAGACAACTTTCTTCTCTCGTATTCTTCTGTTGGTACTGATCATGCAGTCTGTCCAGTCCATAGCCAGGAACCTCTGGGCAGCTTCCCCTAGACCATACCTGACCTGGTCAAGGTTCTAGGATACAGCCAACTGGTTTTCACATCAGAGAACCTGACTTAATAGCTGAGCAAGGTTGGTCATGTCTTCTCAGGAATGATGTTTTAAGGTGTGGGAATCTGGATGGTTCTTCAAGGTCTGTCCAGTACCAAGGAGGGAAACAGATAAATGGCTGATGTCCCTCTGAGCAAGCGTGTAAAGATGGCTTTTCCTTGGAAACCTGGGCACTTTTATGAAGCAGGGCTAGGGGGAATATCCCTTTGTCCATTTCTATCACTTTCTGCAGAAAAGAGTGGATTAGCCAATCTACTCTAATTAGACCTTTCCCTGAGTTTTGGGCTTGGTAAATTCATCCTTCCTATCTCCTGGACTCCCTACCTCATGACCATTCATTCAGCCTGTGTTCTGAAGGATTGAGATGGTCATGTTATCTCCTCAACCCCTTGGAGCTCCTCAGCAGTTCCTCAAACCCTGCTGGGGAGCTAAGTGGTTACCATTCACACAGTTCTCCTTCTTCAGCCCTCTGTAGATAAGATTTCTCTGGTCAAGAACCTAAATTCACCCTCATTAGGTTTCCCCATGACCCTGGCTCTATGTGCCCTTTAAAAGGGGTTTCTGAGTTAGTACCTTACCACAGAAAATGAAGAGCTTCAGATAGGGCAAAGGAGAGGGAGCCTTTCCAACCTCATCTCCTCATCATGTACTAACTGTGCACTCAAACTGGTCCTGGCCTCCCAATATGGGAGGGAAATGGTTCCTGCCTTCTACAAGCTTAATATCTTGGTAGGAAACAAAACAAACATTACTGTGCAGCTGCAGACCATGGATGTATGTATATATAATATATATACGTCAGAGTAGCCACACAAACCTGAACACACTGAATTATCAGTGTTTAAAACTGATTTACTACATAAAGGCACCTCCTCAGTGGAACAAAGCAAAGGATTGAGTTGGAATACAGAATGAGACAATCTTATAGAGGGCAAATCTTGGTTTTTAAGAGCAGAAAGGAAACACTTCCAAAGGTCTAGTATTTGAGTTACATTGCTTTGAGAGGAAAAGATTTAGGTAAAAGAAATTGATCCTTCATCCAACCAATACAAAGTATAACCCTTCCCTGCCTCAGTAGATTTCAAGCTGTCGTAGCCAGCCCTGTAGTGATGGTCATCTCTGCAACAGGTAGTCTGATACCAGGCCCATACTTGAAGCCTTCAAGCTGTTCTGGAAGAGACTTTGAGATCACAGGCTTATCTCCATTTCATGAGGAGGCATCAGAATAGTGTTTTCATGAAGGCTAGTCAACATTTAAAAGTCTTACAGGGTCACAATGATCCATCCAACCCAAATACCTTGTCTCATTGCAGAACCAGAAGCTGTTTTGTATGAAAACATCTATAGCAAGTACTTAAAGGGGGTCTAGGAGGTCACCTAGAGTTCTACCTCCCAACCAATGGCCCCAAGTGCTTCAAGATGCCCCCTAAGCACCTCTAAGGCTATCGTGACTCCAGATTCTGAGCTCCTTGTGCTGCATCATGCCTGCATTTGCTACTTCCAACTTGTGTCAAGTCATCAAGTCCCTTCACCTCTCTGGGCCTTGCTTTCCTCAGCTATAGAATGAAGAGATTGGGCAAGATGACCTCTGAGGTACCTTCCAGCTCTAAATCTATGATCCTCTCATGGCATCCATTGAATCCCAAATAACTTTGCTCTTTGCTGTCACCACCACCACACCTGCCCTAAAAAACCTTTCAGTCCCTTCCTAATCCCCAACACTTTAGTTTGACAACCCTCAGTCAGAGATGAGACCTTAGTTTCTCTGACCTTGGGTCTAAAATGGGGAGGCAATCAAGTAGCTAGATATATAGGAGAAAAACCCAAACAAGACAACTGGATCCTTCCAGTCTGCTTAAGTGGGGTTAACAAGGAAGGTCCAACTTCTAAACTATACTAAAAGTCTGATATCTTTGCAACTTACCAAAATAAAAAAAGAGACCTAAAATTATGATTGGGTCTTCCTCTTCCATCGGTCCCCTGGGAAACTGGTTCTCAAGCTTTTTCCATTCATGAACCCCTTCTGGAAAGATCCCACATATAAACCATGCACCCCAACCTCAACCTGTCAAAACAAAGTTGAACAGAGGACATGCCACTGAGTTAACTTTTAACACTATCTGTGTATTACCTTGGAGATCTAGTCCAAACCTTCTAATAACTAATCTCCAGAAAGGTTAAGGGACTTGCCCTAGGAGGCATAGCTCAATAGCAGCTGAAAACCAAGAAGGGAAGCCCATCTCTTGGCTTTGAGTTACTGTCAGAACAGTACGCTGAGACACCAATAGGGTATTATTGTAACAATCCATCCATGACAAATGCTAATATAGCAATTGTCACAATGCTCAGCAACATGAGAATAAGTGACCCAGCAACTGGAGGTGAGAGAAGAGGAAGAGGGAAGCTCAGAGATCACTTTGCAAACCCACTGTCTCCGTGTGGAATCAGTTTGGGGTGCCAGTTCTGCAGGTGTATAAACAGCTTTTTCAGAGCCAAAAGATGCAGCTCCCCTTCTAGTCCTTGGGGAGGGTTGAGAAGCACTGACATTTCAAACCATAATCCTTTAAACCTGTTTAGCACTTGCACCTTTTCCAAAACATGGACATTGTATCATATGCTTCTCATAACCCTATTAGGTGGGTAGGGCAGACATTTTGTTCTCCATTCTGCAGTTGGACACACTGAGGTGGACAGACAGGATTAGGATGCAGCCTTATCCAGCACTTTCTCCACCGCATTTCCAAGATTATCACATCATACACAACCTATGTCTCTGGCATTGCCTTTGCAGGGCAAAGTCTTACTCAGAGCCATCTGAGACATCACAAACATCTCAAAGAAAGAACTATATCCATTCCTACTTCTCCGTGGCATGACTTTGCGAATAAGCCTTTTGAGCTTGAGACAGTTATGGGACAGGCTGCTCACACCAGGCTCCCTCAACAGCACAAGACTGAGGACTTCCTTCAGAATACTGGCAGCCACTTTTGGCTCACTAAGATCACACAAGGAGGGTGAGCCTTATACAGTTGCTGCCAAAGGAGCTGATCTCTCACGCTTACCCAAGGGCCTAACACCAGCACAGAGGAGGGTGAAATTGGGCAATACACCAATCAACAAGCATGTACCAAGCATTTATGACATGCCCGGCACTGTGTTAAACACTGGGGATACAAAGAAAAGAGCTCACATTCTACATATATAAGAATAGTGGCCATGTAATTTTGACCAATTAGCAAAGGTGGAGAATTCATGACTGTTCATCAAGTACGTGGGTCAACCAAGCCCTTGATGATTTCTCCTGCTCCCTAATTTGGGATCTTCCTGAGGTGTAACTTCATAGAGTACAGAAAAGAGAAGTTGACTTTCAAGCTTAGGAAAAGGTGCAAAGCATGGGTCAGTTAGGTTTTAAGATTCTCTGTAGATTCCAGTGATCCCAGCTCCCCTGTCCCCTATAACCAGATAACTGTGAGGTTGGTCATGCATATGGACTTTTAAGAGTTTACCTAGCACAGCCAAATATCTGCTCCCCATCCAACTAAATGGCACTGTGAATACGGCCAAGCAGGGAACTGATAGGCATTTTTTTTCCCTTGTGGGCTTCTTTGTGGAGAACCTCACCATTTGCAAAGTGCTCCATGATGACTGAAGAGGGAAAAGCACTGTCATGACCCTTAAGAGGAGGTTTATTAGAAGAAGGGACCATCAAAAAACAAAGTGGTTTAAAGAGGTTCTAACTTAAGTCTTGTTTGCTTCGTTATGTGTCTTTCTCACCAAGTTTGGGACTGGCCTTTGTCACAGCAAGTCACTTACCTACCTGGGGTGGGGATCACTCCACATGGTATAGGGTGATGATCTCAGTCCCAGGGAGTTCCTTGGACCAAGGGACTATTTTACAAAGTGGGGGCTGGGGGTAGAGGGAGGGTTGGTATATTTTTGATAATCAGACATTCCAATGCAATGTTCTCCTTAGAGGTTCCCCCATCCCCTTTGTTAACGTTTATTGTGAGAAACATCGCGTACGTCGTTCTCTATTTTCATATAATAAATGGGCTTTGCTTACCAACGTCACAATGGCAGAGACAGAAACGCACTGTACAAAACTGCAGGAAGATTCAGACTTCATCTGAAAACAACTTTCTAAAACAAAAGTTCTTGAGTTTCCTGTTGTCTTCTCTTCTAAATCGTAGTGCATATGTTAAAGTGTGTCTATCATTGACAGTACCAAGTCGTGTGCCACTGCTGTACCTGATGTATCCAATCTGGATTAAATGGCGTATGTGCCACAAACCCCGAAGCGATGCTGTGTGCTTACTGTATTCCGACTTTCTACTTCTAAACCTACGGTGGCCCACGAGACAGCAGTTGTGACTAAAGTCTTTTTTGTTCCCTGTTAGAAGACTTGTAGTTGGAAGAAACCTTAAAGATCATCTAGTCCAATGTCCATGGCAGTGGGAAGAGCAGAGCAGAACCTGCAGTCAGAGGGCCTGTGTCCAGATCTCAGCCCTGCTTCTTCCTACCTAGGGCAGCATGAGTATACATTCTCCCATGACCCTCTGGTTCTATCATCTGTAAGATAACAATGATGTGACCCTCTGGTTCTATCATCTGTAAGATAACAATGATCTGCTATGAGACATCCAAGAACCCTTCCAGTTCTTTTACAATCCACTTACTACTTACTTAACCTTGAAGAGTAACAGCTAACATGTATACAGCACCTCCTATGTGCCCAGCACCATACTAAGCCCTTTACAATTACTTTCTCACTTGAACCTCAGAAACACCCTAGGAAGTGAAAGATGAGGAACCTGGCCTAGATAACCTCTAAGAGCCCTTCTAACTCTGATCCATCATAACCCTGCCCAAAGCTAGAACGCCTCCTCAAGAATCCCTGAGATGACCACCCAATTGCTTGCATGAACACGTCCAATCAGAGAGCTCACTGACTTAATAAAACAGCACATTCTAGCACAGCTGCTATCAAATTCTTCCTTACATTGAGCTAAAACCTGCTTCTCTGAAATGTCTCATGGGTCCTAATTCTGTCCTCTAGCTACAAATCTGAGCCCTGCTATAAGGGAATAAACAAACCTTCTAAACCAAGGTCCCTCCAACTAAAAAAGAAAAAGCTCAAAATGAAAAAGTTTCTAAGGAAATGATTATAGAACAGACAGCAACTCCAATATCAAAGTTCAAAGAAAATCCTCTTAAAATTGTCACCACTGTACAGCAGCCAGATCTTGGTTACTGGAAATAGCACGAGAAATAAGACACTTTAGGACAAATATCCAAGAGGTCAAAAGGCCCAGTAGCTGTACATTTTATGTTCATGGCCAAAGGTTGGCTGCTCTGGCTCTCAGCACCCACTAGGTGTCGCCCTATCCTCATAGCTCTCTAGACATCAAAGACAATAATCGATACCCACTTTTTCATTACAGTATGCTTGGATATCAAGTGACAGGCCAACAAACAAGCCAAACTTTGGTGACTCTATCAGTATTCCTTAAGAAAATCAAACTGCTCCCCTGTCTACAAAGGTAGAGTCTGAAATACAGTACAATCTCAATTGTAACTATACTAGCATAAACTCACCTTTTCACAATGCATTTTTTAACATGAGGGTTCCTGGAGCAAACTGATGGTATAACAAGCCTGAAAAATATGTAACCCATCTGAGAAAATACACTTTTAAAATAACATCAACTTGCCTGTTCAATAAAACAATCACCTAAAAGAACAAAATCTTTTAGTTAGTTGTTACTATCAACCGAATTTGAATTATTCTTGATATAAGGTGTAGTAATAAAAACACTTTTATAAAGCATCCACTACAGACTTTTGCCAATTCATACTGGTCACTACCTTCAACCAGTCTGAATTAATAAGGTCTTACACTATTTGCAAATGTGATTCATTCCTAGCCCTTTCCCCACCTCCACCAATAACCCTTCACATTAGTTACAGAACCCACATTCCCTGAGAGATCATCCTGTCCACTGGTTTTACTTTCCAGTCAAGCAAACTACTCTTCTTAAAAAGACCTGCCCATGATCTCTCACAGTGGAGACAGAACTAGAACCCAGGTCCAGATGCTTAGCCAGCACTCTTCCCCAGTCAGGCCACAGTAGTTTTTCTGCTCAGTATCTATCTCTTCTTGCATACAGCATCCTAAAAATGTCTAACAAGTAGTAGGGTTTGTCAGGATGTCAATCCTGAGCTAAACGCTTTATGAAGAGAATGCCCTGCAAGTGAACCCAATTGGCTGTCTCTGCTGATGAGGCACAATTTCATCATTTTTCTCACAAAAGCTCATGGAAAAAATCAAGATATATTTTGTGTTTACCTTCTCTCCTCAGACTAGTCTCTGGCAATAAAGATGTGCTCATCTCTGGCTTATTTTCCAATTTAAAAAATAAAAAACACAAAGTAACAGACAAACCTAAAGAGAATCCAATTAATTTCGGGACTAATGGGCAATTTCATTTCTAATTAAGATGCACTGGCATCCTAATTAAAATTCCCTGGCAATGACAGGCTGCTTGGCTGTTCTGGGGGGCAGGGGAAGGGGGTGGCAAATGGAACACAGCAAGGCAAGGGTAAGGTGCAATGACAGGATCTTACTTTGGTGTGTAATTAAAATCTTTACCACTGCATGGCAGACTGGACCTAATTACGGAATTGCTATTTACATAGTTTTAATTAATTCATCCTCACTTGGCAATACCATACAGAGAGAAGAGTAAAGCTTCCCATTGCTCAACCTCAGAACAGGAAGCAGACAGTGCGAAGTCGAGTTCAGGACCATGGTTGTGTGGGTGTTTTGACAATAAATGACGATCACTGTGGGTACAGGCTGACGGCAAAGGGGAACAGTATTTATGTTGCCTAGCCCTCCCAACAGCAACAGCCTTCCAAAATGAAGAGCCAACCCTGCTCCCCTAAATCCTGGCCTCTTCCTTCCAAAGAATCAAGGCCTTCTTTGGAGGGGTCAGTCACACCAGGGAAGAAACACAAGTTTTAACTTCTGGTGACTTTTTGGATACCCGCAATTTTAGAATGAAATATTTCATAACGAGAATAACTTTCCTCCCAGTCTAACGTAACAGATGCACTATGAGAGAAAAGGCCCGCTGACAAGAGCACTGAGGACATTGTGTGGAGGTGGTATGGGCAGAAGGCTAGCCTCCACCCCAAAAAGCTACTAGTTCATTCTGACTGCCTTCTGACAGCAAGAATGGGAAGATGACAAGGTGAGGAATCAGCCAGCCTGACCCAGTGTGCTGCAAAACTGAGCAGCCTCATAGTAACCTTTCTGTTTGGACTTTTACAAAACATAAAGAAACATCTGTACTAAAAATCCCTATTTACCTCAATTTAAAATGGAAGGAGTTCATGGTCAAAAAAATGCTAAAAATAGTATATTTTCACATTACAGCTATGAAAATCCAGCATGATCAGAAATAATTTCTTTTTTTACACGAAGTCCTTCATAATATTTACATCTCAGTTGGATGTTTCCTTGGGAGCAGGTGGTGGTATTTTAGGAGTGTTTTAAATAAGGAGTGGTATGGTACTATGTTTAGTTTATTTTTAAGGGAGACAGTGAAAGAATGGTTAAGAAAATGATGCACTAAGACTCTGTACCCAAAGTTCTCTTTTTCAGAGCCCAAATCTGTGAATTTTTCCAAAAGAGAAAGAGGAAACAGCACCTCACCTGATACAAACCAACCTGAAGAATAAAAGGTTCATAAAACCTCAAGCTTTTTAAAGTTCCTCAAAAATGCCATTACAGTCCACCCCAAAGGACAGTCCCCTCCAAGGCACCAAGGAGCTGCTATTACTCAAGGTTTCACAGGTCACCGCCCCGCATTAACTCCTGAAGATAGATGGTGTTCATGTGATAGGCTGCCATCCAATCGGAGTGTCTCCTGGCATTCCAGCTATAGGACTGAGAGGCTGCTGCATAATACTCCTGCCATGCCCAGTAGCAGGATCTCCAGTAATCCTCATAACTCTGAGGATTGGGGGGGAAAACTGGAGGCTGCTCCCCAGCATGACCGCGCCAACTCTCCTCGTGAGGCTCCCGCTGCAGCTGGTGGGGCACCCGCTTGGGAACACTTCTCCTGCTGCGCTTAGAGGTCTGGTTAGCTCCTTCCTCCCTCCCCAGGGCTTTCGTCGAGATGTGAGGGACATCGTGGCTTTCCTCCACACTCCGGGTTTCACTTCTATTCAAGGGCTGATTAGGAGAAGCAAGGCCTGCCATGCAGGCTAGTTCACCTTCTCTCACCTGGTTGTCAGAAGAGCCTTCTAAACACGACTTGTTGCCTTTGCTCTGGGACGATGCTCTTGAGCAGCCAGAATCACTGTCACTAGCCGAATCTTCCGAGCGGCCGCTGCTCACCAAAGCCCGGGGGCTCTCTTGAGTTTGTCTCCATTTCAATAGACCGTTTTGGGGCTGCAGGGCCTGCTCCCCAGGACCAGTATAGTGCCTGATAATTTCTACATGCCTCTCTAGTCCCTCTTTAATGTAATGTTCGTAATCCTCCACCAATTCCGAGTAAGTCACTACACAGGGTTGCTGGGTCTTAAAGGAAGACAGACAAGGGATTTTGGGAAGTGTGGCAAGTGAAGCTTCTCTGGTCTGGTTCTGAAAGATGCTGGAACTTTCAACAGGGGTCTGAACGTAGTTCTCGACTGGTTCTTTCAATTGTGTGGGACAGCCCACCCCCCTGGAGAGCTCCACTTTTTCTTTGGTTCCATACTCTGAATGGCTTTTTCCTGGGTGTTTTTGCTTGGTAGCTTTCTTTGATTTGACCATCCCTGCAGGACCTGAAGCTGTCTGAGATAGAGCCACATGGCTGTTCTGAGCTTTCTGTGCCTGAATGATCCGATCTGGTTTCTGAATTGTTTTAGGGGGTTGGATGGGTACATTAACTGAGTCAACCGTAGGCTCGGCCGCTTTGACCTCAACATCCCAATCCAAACATTCTTCCATCAGTCCAGGAGGAATTGGATCTACATAATAAAAAAAGGAAAGAGTTAATATTCTCCTAATACTCTTATCAACTTCCATAGAACTGCAGCATAGGCCTCCGCGGTCCTAAGAACACTTTTCTTACGAGCTGTTCCTGGAATATGGCAGACAAGCTCCATCCTTCCCAGCAGCACTTCCATCTGGTAGAAGGATCAAAAGTTTCTGAGGATGTGGAGAATTCTTTCCCAGAATTTTCCTCTTCCATTTCCCTTTATCAAACTTAAGAAAGCAGAAGAGGAACAGGACTTGTGTTCCCCACAACTCCTCACCTACTGGGAATTCAATTAAACCCAATAAACATTTATTGAGCACTTAAAGCATACAAAACATTATTCTTGGGATACAGAGACTGATATTCCTGCTTCCAAGTTTAAAATCTAATTGGAGAGAAGAGGGAAGGATGGGCAAGTGCGAGAGAATATTAAACTGTGCATGCCTTTGACCCTGCAATACCAATACTAGGTATACACTCCAAAGAGATCCAAGAAAGAGAAAAAAAAGAGCCATACATACAAAACTATCTGTAGCAAATACACTACAAAAAGTAGTGTCAAAAAACTGGAAACTGTGGGGATGCCCATCAACCAGGGAATGGCTGAACAAATTCTGACAGATATACACGAGAAGTGTTGATAGAAATAATAAAGGGGATGGTTTCAGAGAAACCAGGGAAGACTTGAAATGATGCAGAGTGAGGTGCGCAAAACCAGATGAACAAGTTACACAGTAACAGCAATACTGCAAAGACAAATGAGTTTGGGGATGAGAAAACAAAATATATTTGAAAATAAAATTTAATTCAGAAGAGGGAGAGACCAGTGCACAGGAGAGAAGTACTGTGAGTAAAATGAGCTGGGTCGTGAAAGAAGGGAGAATGTCAACAGATGGATAGAGGGAAGAGGAATACAGAAGGAGAGAACACCACTCCAGATTCAGGAAGATGGCGTGAGAAAAGGCGAGGAGACAGAAAAGGGAAAGGGTGGGAAATTGACAGTAGTCCAATCTGGCTAGAACATTGACTATGTGAAGAAGAAAAGAATGGAAACGTGGGCTGGAGCCAGATTATGCTGGGCCATGAACACCAGGATCAGAAGTTGATACTTTAACCAAGAGGCAATGAGAAGGCCCTGTAAAAAGCACTCTGAATCCCACCAGGATGACAGATAAGAGAGGCATCACTTAAGTTCAGATTAAATACTGAAAGTGACAGAAAAAGTAAAGAGCTGGCTAACAAAAAGTGTGAACAGGGAGTTGCAGCACCATCTTCTAGATGGTTCAGGACTCTTTCCTTCTACCAACAAACATGCAAACAGTCAGGTCTGTCTTTCCACATTAGAAATAATGAAGCCCCTACATTAAGGCCTTGGCTCAGCTTCATTCTTCCTGCTGATACCCCTGCCTACTATGTAACTCAGGGACCTCCCTTATATTTTGACCCCTTGATATCTAAACACTATGGCCTAAGTTTCTGACAGCCATGATGCCCCTACCCCCATATCTCTTTTGTTGCCCAGATCCTCTATCTAGACCATCTCTGATCCTTTTGTCCCTAGTCTTCGAACCTGAATTGTTCTTGATCCCTCTCAGCTGACTTCCTTAAGACTCTGGCCTTCTTTCCCCACCAGAGCTACCTGCTTCTCACTGCCTTAGGTGACTTCCCTGGACTTGACCACTGTCTCTCTTAACTTAAAAGTTCTGGTCAACTCCCAATCTCATCCAGCCAAATTCCCAGGCCTCTCTCAGCTATTCTGTTGTCACCCAAGTCCCAGAGTAATACACACCCACAAAGATTTCTCCACACTCTCAAAGATCTACTATATTTATTATTACATAGTGAAAGATTCCAACTTGGCACCTTCATGCTCTTTATCATGCTATTCCCTTCAGGCTCCCCCCGCCCCAAAAAAGGACATTTATTCTAACACGTTTCCACCAAAGGGGGCTTTGCTGGCCAATTCTCTGGCAGACCTTAAAGTAAGAAACAAAGATGAATACTTAACATTATCATTTTTTTTTCCTTTGGTGAAGCAATTGGGGTTAAGTGAGTCACAGAGCTAGTAAGTGTTACGTATCTGAGGCCGGATTTGAACTCAAGTCCTCCTGACTCCAGGGCCAGTGCTCTATCCACTGTGCCACCTAGCTGCCCTAACATTATCATTTTTAAAGTACTTTGCATAAACAGTAATCAAACTGGACTATTACACATAGAATGGACTTCCCAAGAGACAGCATGTTACTATTTTACCTCTGGAACTAAAATTTAAGACTTGACCAATTTCATGCTTAATATTCCTTAAAACTATATACTGTTGGGGCAGGTGATGCAGTGCATAGAGCATTGGCCCTGGAGTCAGGAGGACCCTAGTTCAAATCCAGGTCTCAGACCAAATACTTGAAACTTACTAGCTGTGTGATCCTGGGCAAGTCACTTAACCCCAACTGCCTCGCCAAAAACAAAAAACTATATACTGTTAATTGATATCAAATTGCTTGCCTTCTCAAAGATAATGGGGGGGGGGGGGCAGGAGGAAGGGAGAGAATTTGAAACTCAAAATTTTTAAAAACAATTGTTACAACAAATTTTACATGTACCTGAGGATATTTAATGAAATAAATAAAAAATATATTTTTAAAACTATAGTGTTGGGGCAGCTAGATAGTGCAGTGGATAGAGCACCAGCCCTGGAGTCAAGAGGACCTGCGTTCAAATCCAGCCTCCAACACATGACACTCACTAGCTGTGTGACTCTGGACCAGTCACTGTTAACCCCAAATGCCTCACCAAAAAAAAAAAAACCCAAAAACCCCACAACAACAACAAAAAACTATATACTGTTAAATTTGGGATTAAGATTTTTTTCAAAGAAATTAATTTCTCCAGGTATATTAATTCTGATTATTCAATAAATATGTTAAGTCCTATATTCTAAATATTAACATTTAATTAGCTTAGTTGGTTCAAAAAAAAAAAAGCTTTACAATTATTTTTCATTCATCCACCTATGAAACTCAACATATTAAGAAATACTTTCTTTCATGAGCAAGAACTTCTCTTTTCTCTAACCTCCCAAAACATTTTATGTCTCTTGTGATATTTTCACATTCTACATTAGTTATTTGTGTGACTATTTTATCTTCCCTATTACATCTTAAGCCCCATGAGGACAAGGGCCATATTTGTATCTATCTTGCCCACAGCACCTAACACAATGCCTTACAAAACAAACAAACAAACAAAAAGCATTTACCCTATTTTCTGAATTGAATGATCAAATATAACAATATTCCCATATGACTAGGTTTTTTTTAAAAAACATTCACTAAGTGTCAAACATAATGCTTAAAAATAAAAGGACAGAGCATAAATGACATTAAAACAGTAGTTCCATCAAATCCTGTGTACAGATCAAAATACTGCCAAACTTGAAAATGGTCTAACAACCTGTACTTACACAAACAAAAAATTATGCAAAGACCAATCCACCTGAATAAAAAGCAGAGCTAACATGGTAATCAAATACATATTGCGCTAGGCAGATCTTCAACAAATTTCTGATAACAAACTGTACCTGGCAAAGAGAGGAGGTTAAGATTACATTTCTGAGCAATTGTCATCATCATATTTTCTTCCTCTCCCCGGCAACAATAGGTCACAGCTAGCCCCAAAGTACCTAAAACAGAGAAGTATAAAATTACACTTGCTGCCGGACATAAATGATACCTGCAATTCCAACCATTTCATAAGGGCCCTTTCCTCAAATAAAGTAAACCATATTTTGTTTTATCTTTTACCAAAACGTCCAGCTCTGCCAATCCGATGCATGTATGTTTCCCAGTCCAATGGCACATCCAAATTTACAACCAGATTCACCTTCTCAGCATCAATCCCACGTGAAGTCTCAAAATGAATAAGATAGCAGTTGTTTACTTAATAATGTTCCCTTATATTATTTCAAAATGTACACTGTAATTTCCACCAAAAAAAAAAATCTATAATACTATGGCACAATCACAGATGAAGTGCCAAATTAAGTGCGTTTGGAAGCATGGGTGAAGTTAAATGTGTTTTCTAAATTCTGCATGTGATATAACAGAAACAGTATCTGACTAAGACTTAAGTCCTAACTCCTACACTTACTAGCTATCTCACTTTGGGAAAGTCTTTTAAACATCAATAAGCCTCAGTTTCTTCATCTGAAAAATAGATAATGCACCAAATACTGCATAAATATAAACTATTAATGTGAACCATTACTGCTTTAGCTCTAAGAAAAGGGACAAATATCAGAGCCATTTTAAGAAATCATTCCACGGAGCTGGAAAGGGGTAGACTGTCTTCTGGTATCCTCTCAACCCATGAACATAAAATATACTAAATCTGTACATCTGAGGACTAGAACATGTGTCGAGATGTTAGTCATCCAAAGTGAACAGGAAGCTTACCAAATCTGTTGAAATGAGGACTCTGCAATGGAACTGCTTCAGCTTGGCCATAGCATCAAGACGCTGGTTTTGATTCATGCTACCTGAAGAGATCCAGGAACATCAAATGTTTTATAAGCGCTTTCTAAGCACTGGTGCTGCTGCTTTTTGCCATCACTCAAATACATAAAAGCAGTAACCCTGACTCCCGCTCTCAGTATTTTAAATAACCTATTTCAAGACTTTGACATTTATAATTTCATTCATATGGGTAAGTCCTCCAAATGATGCAAATTCTGACCCCTTCAAACTTTAGTAGATTGTCTGATACACTGATAGACATGAAAGAACTCATCATGTGGTGATGACGCTCACCAAATGGAGGTAGGCTGGTCTCTGGATGACAGTAACTGGGCGTACACTAGGCCTCCCTTGTCCAGTAGGACCTCCCAAAGCTTGTCTTCTTACTGTCATAGCTTTCTAGAACCTAGGGTCACTTGCACAATGAGGCATAATAGCAAAACTTCAGTTCTCTTCAAATTTCTTTCCTACACATGATAAAAACAGCTGGCATTTATAGAGGCTTTAAAGGTTTACAAAGCACTTTATAAGTATTATCTCATCCCCACTTTACAGATGAGGAAACTAAGGCTGAGAAAGGTTAAGTGACATACACAGGGCCACACGCAGCTAGATTTGAACTCAGACTCCAGCTCTGTATCTAGCTGCCACGTGATGTGACAATGAGATATGAGTTACTTAGAATGTGAATGATTCTGAATGAGTTACAAGAGAGATGACCTTGTTAGAATATGGCTCTAGAATAGGAATATTTTCAATTCATCACCACATACACATACACAGACACACACACATACATACACACACACAGAGTACCTATACCTGATATGTTTCAACAAAAATGTACATATTACATAATAAATGCTCCAACGACGATGAAATACACTGGAAAGAGTATCTGAAACAGTTGGGCTAGAGTTCCATTTACTAGCTGTGTGAAGTCACCATCTCTCTGAGATTCAGTTTGCCCATTTATAAAATAGGGATGACACTTGAACCATCTATCTCACAAGGGTCTTATAAAAGGAGATTGATGTAAATTTCACTTTGTAGCCACACAAGGCATCATAACTATAAATATGAGCTCCCATCCTGATTACCATGAAGGCTTAACATACATTATACTTTGCACACTTTGGAGGGTTTTCTGACACAAATTAAAAATGTTTTTCTATCAAAAAACACTGTCCCAAACAACTAATAGGTGAAAACCATACCTGAGTCACAAAAACCCCTCATCTTAGTCAACTTACTCGCTATCTGAAAAAAATACCCTAAATAACTCATTCCTGCTAGTCCAAAAGAGATACTTTAACCATGTGGAAGGAAATGGCAACTTCTTTTATCTCCCGTAAGAAAATAAAACTGGCAATTCTATTTAGATTACGAAATCTCATCACTGTTATGTAACTTAACTAACAAAGTAATCTTTTCACCTGTAAAATAAAGTTCACAAAGGACATCACAAACATACTCTAGAATTCCACAAAGACAATTTTCAAACTGAACACTACTTTGTACTACTTTGAAATTACAGAAAAATTGGGGAAAATCCTTTTTTTTAACCTATCAAAGTAAAATTTAAGTAGCAATTTTCTTTATTTGGAAGTTACTCATTTGACTGCCTCAAAATCCCAAGATTACATCTGACTACCGATTTCCTCCTTCTTACTTTGGGAACTTTGTTCCAAGGTATTACTAACAAAGGTTAAAAGAAGAACCACTTACCTGAAATGCACTCAGCAGGAAAGCCCTTGGATGACAAGATATCAGCCAAATGCTGGGCTCTGTGGAAAAACAATATACAGAACTCAAATCTTATGATTACACAATTCATCCAAAAAACTTTCAGATTCCCATGAATATCTTTCTCCTTCACCCAGTATCTCAATCTTAAATTATGTTACCTGCTATGTAAATTAGAGAAGACCAAAGCTTGATTAAATGGAATTCTACTGAATAATTCTTGCAAGTGTTGGGTCTTTTCCTCAAAAATTTTATGAGGCAAGGGATGTGAATTTACCACTTTGTAATACTGCTTCAGCCCTATGCAAAAAAATTAGGAATCATTAATAGAGAACGAACAGGCATCATGCCATATGTCAAGAATTATTACAAGAGCTATAACAGATATGTACTAACAGCTGCCAATGGAGGAAAAACTATCAGAATATCATTTAATAATATGCCAATGGACATATCTAAAACCTAGACATACCAATAAGACTTGGGTCACTGGAATTCAGCCTCACAAATGTGGGGTCTCTCATGTACCTCGTCAAAGCACTGGCCAAGAATTCAGGGTAGGTAGCTGATACTGCCAGCATCTGTTTGTTGGCAGGCAGAGAGGAATAAATCCAACTGCAGATAACAGAAGAAAAATAAACACTCTGGAGATATTGAATGCAAGAATCCCTTAGAAAAGAAAGTGAAAGATATTTATGCATTTTGTTTTAATGGTTAGTCCAGTTATTTTTCTTACTTTATTTGTTCCTGGAAGCTCCCTTCTTCTAGAAGTTTATCTGCCTCATCCAGTATAAAAAGACGGATACTGGCTGTGTTCAAGTAGTCAAGTTCTATTAACTGTTTAATTCTGCCTACATGTCAGAAAAAATAAAAAATAACAGTGAAGGAGCAACTATGTACAAAGCAAACATTTAAGCATTATGCGTATGTGTATGTACATATGTAAATATACATACACACAGATATAATATCACTTTTTAAGAATCTAAACAATAGTGACAGCAACTGTTGGAAGCCTGAGAGCAGACCAAACAATATTAGTTATATTCCCCTAATTTCCTTCCCTAGTTCCCATTAAAATCCTGTGCATAGTTAATCAATAAACCAAAATGGAAATGAGGCCACAAATTCAAATTAATTCAATTTTAAAACCTTTTACCTAAAGTGCCTACTCAACATCTAATAAACTACTACTAAGTGCAATATTATCTCTCACACTGTGAAAGAGGCATATGGCTAGAGACTGAATTTCAGATTAAAAGACATAGATTCAAGTCCTGCCTGTTACGTAGACTGGCTGTGTGACCCTGGGCAAGTCACTCAGCTTCAGTGCCCCAGGCAGCATTTTAGATTCTAAGCTGCAAGATGGTTGCCAGGTTCCACTGGTAAAAGGAGCTCCACCTTCCTGAATTCTCCATATTAAGGAAATCACATGTGCAGACAAAAAAGGAAAAAAAAGGCAAAGTACAAGGCACTGCTAGGGGATAGTACTAAGAAAAAAAAAAAAAACTCTGCCTCCAAGAAGCTTCAACTAGGCCCAGGATGCTACCCTAAAACCAGACCTCTTCCCTTCTGAGGCATTCCTGTTTCGTTAACATTTTACAAGAAGACAACCAACTCCTGGCAGGCCTACAAATTAAGATAATCCATAATATATACATTAAAAATTAGTATCCACAAACCAGAAAGCCTGCCAGAAAGCAGCTAATAATCTTTCACATTGTCTTCAGACCCATTCTGCCCCAAATAACAATTATAATTTATTCTTCTGGATCTCAAGTTAAGAGGAATCCTTATTTTCACAAAAGCACAGATTTGGATTAGAGACCTCAGGTCATCTGGTCCATCCCCCTTCTTTTACAGATAAAGAAACAAAGGCCAGAAAAGTTAAATGACACAGGTATGTAGAAGTAGCAAAGCCAGCATTCAAAATCAGGTTCTCTAACTCCAAAACTACCACTCTTCCCCAGGTACCACACTGATTTCTCATTTGCTTAGTGCCCATCTCTCTGCTTTAGTGCTCCTGACACTGGCCATTAAAAGAGCAACCATTACCACTTGCAGAATATACAACGTCCTTGACCGGAAAAGAAGTTCATTCAGTTCCTAAAAGTAACAACAGTAAACAAGGGGACAAACTTACCAGGGGAACCAACAGCAACATGGCACTTTTTAAGTCTGGTCTTGTCTTGAGATAAAGGTGTCCCCCCAATAAAGACATGGCATTCTAAACCTTCCATTTTGATTCCAATGGCTGTGATAACAGAATGGATCTGCACAGCAATCTCTCTTGTAGGAGCCAAGATCAGGATCTGGGGGTTGGGGGAATAGGGAAGAGAAAGGAAGAAATCAATTCTCTTTTCAGAATAATTTTTAAAAATATGGAAATCATCTAGTCCCCAGAAATACTCCCAAGGGATGAAGGAGAAAATAGCCTGCTATGACTCATGTGCACAAGTCTTCCAACCGCCTGTCACCACTACAGAAGCAGTTTGAGCACCACCACAGCACTATCTTCCTGGAAGACGCTGAATGGCAAGTGTTTAAGAAATCATGGAAGGATACTCAACTTATCACTCCTTCATGTCAAAAGTGAAGCTGAGGAATCAATCAACTCAACAAAGCAGGGCACTAGGCATGGGGAAATATGTAAAGTATGGATAAGGCCCAAGATCTACCCTCCTCAGAGGAAACTCATAATGATGCTACCGGAAGGCTCCTATGCTCAGAACTGAAAACTTCAAGCTTTGGACTCTCCCTGCTTTGTCCTTTGCCATTCGTCCTCACCACCATCATCACACTTAAAGGTCCCTTTCACACCTCACAAAGCCATTGGCTAGGGAGTTGCAAAACCCATTTGCTTGAGTTCTCCAATTGAAACTCACCTGGGTGGCCAGGTTTTCAAGAATTAGCGAGTCTAGAGCCACGGTGGAGAACACACAGGTTTTCCCGGTGCCAGACTTGGCCTGAACGATTAAATCTGGGGGGAAGCAAACAACTACTATTAGAGTTACTGTTAAAAACATCTGGGTGGATACAATTGCACCTCGTCAGAGGTGGGAACAGGGCTGTCTGCTCGCATGCTGCCGTCTTCCCCGTTAGATTGCAAGCTCTCTGAAGGCAGGGGCTGGTTTGGCCTTCCGCTGTTCGCCCAATTTATCAATGTTCATTCACTTGGAAGATCAAGGATTTCAATTGACCCTTCCAGTCCCGTCCTGTCTCGTCCGGCCCCCCACCCCAGGTTAGGTCGGCATTCAGAAAGCCACGTGCAAGAGGCCGGTGGGAGCCCAGACCCTGGGAAGGGAGATGGAGGAGGGGACTCCTCTGGGCCGGGGGGCTGGGGCGGCCCCGACCTGCCTCTGCTTGGTTCAACGGAGGGTACAAGAGAGCAGGGTGCGGGCCCCGGGCCTTACCCAGGCCGCAGCGCCCCAGCGGGATGGCCTTGAGCTGCACCGGCGAGGGCCGCTCGAAGCCGGCCGCCCGCAGCCCCTCCAGCACCGGCCGCGACAGCAGCAGCGACCCGAAGTCCGCCGGCTCGGCCAGCAGCACGTCCCCGGTGCGCGCCCGCGGGCCCCCCACGTCGTGGGCCGTGCGCAGGCTCCGGCCTTGTCCGAGTTCCCCCGGATCCACGAAGGGGTCGGGCACGGGAGCCAAACCCGCCGACATCGCGCCGCCATGACTCTCAGACGCCGCCGCCGCCACCGCAGCCATGCCGCCCACAACCGTCGCGGGATCTCGCGAGAGTAGTGGGGCGGGGCGTAGAGGCGGCCTCGCGAGGCAAGAGAAACAACTTTATTGACAAGCCGTCCAGAGCGGATACAGACAGTCGGGGCGGGCCTAGTAGTACTGGGAGGGAGGGCGAAGTGAAGGCCAATAGAGACACTGGAGCAGAGAGAGAGGCGGGATCGAGAGACTTGGAATCAAGGGCGGGGCGGGTGGGGGGGGTCAAAGGGAAGGAGGAAGGAGGGAGGGGCCGGAAGGAGGAGAGGTGTGGTGCCGCCTGCCGGCAGAGGGCGCCACCGGCTCACACTTCGGTCCGTCGCTCTGGGACTCCTAGGCGGCGCTCCTCTCCCTCTCTTTCCCCTTCCCTCTCCCCCTCCCTGGTGACCAGGGCACTGGAGGAGTCATGCGGCCCACCCCCGGCCCAAGGGGGCAGGTCAGCCTGGCCCCTCGAGGCTGCCGAGGCTTCCCCGCGCGTGGAAATCTCCAGGAGACCCAGCGGCTGGAACCGACGAAACCTCTATTCAGACCCTCAACCTTTCTCTGAGCTCAGCCCGCCCCGCCCCCGACATCCGGGCTACTGTTGGCCTGACGTCACGGCCGAAAGCATTATGGACGTCACAGGGTCATCACAATGACGCCAGACCAGCGAGAGCTGGGATCCGTCAAGTTTGAGCACCGATAGATTTTAGCACGATTATTTTCCAGTTTTTTTTTTTAAATAATTGAACTGCCAGCTTTTGTGCCAATCAGTCAATGTTTATTAAGTGCCTACTATGTGTCAGGCGCTGGGGAAACAAAAGGAGGCAAAGGACAATGCCTGCCCTCGAGGAGCTTACAATCTAATGAGAGTTGTAAAGCGTTTAGAGCAGTCCCTGTCACATAGTAGGTGCTTAATAAATGTTTCTTCTCTTCCCTACCCTTCCCAAGAAAAAGTTGTGCAAAAATAACCCACAGCAGGTTGGCTTCTGACGACGTATGCAGCGTTCTGTCCCGGTAGTTGCCCACCTCTTGTCCAAGAAAAGCATCTGAACATATTTCCCACGACTCCCTGGTATACAGGAAAAAAGGTGTGGGACCCTAGAGGTCATCTAATTCACTATGCACACACATAACATGTTAGAGAGGAAGCATTCTCCCAGAAAAGGGAAGGGACTTGGTCAAGGTCACACTGGTAGTGAGCAGCATAGCTGGGGCTGGGTGCAAAGTCCTCTGACAAACACACTCCTCCAATTAAGCTAGCTTGCCCTCATACTTCTGTGGTTCTGTAAGCCCCTGGATGTGGGTACTCCCTCCCTCCCAACAATATGGTTTCCAACCCATCTATGATACTGTTATCTTTGTCCTCCAATAAGCAACAGGCATTTTATTAAGTGCTTACTACGTACTAACACTGTACTAAAAATACAAGCAAAAATAAAGACAATCCCTGCCCTCAAGAAGCTTCCTTTCTAATGAAGGAAGACAGTAGTAGGTCAATAGGCTCAGTTTCTTATAATCTAGCCAATAGCTCACAAGTGTTCGGATTCCTTAAGAGTCTGGCCAATGTGGCGGATCTTTAATAAACCTTGTCTTTGGCTGAAAGAAGGCTTGTGTTGAATTCATTTGGGCAGGACCCACTTGTGATTTTAGGGTTCCAGCACCACTAAATCTCTAAACCTCAACATCACCGGTCTATCAGGAATCATTCAGAGTTGAAACTCTGCTTTTCAGATCTAAGGCCCAGCAAGCAAGTTGTACTCTGAGCTTGACATAACAACAATCCTTTGCGCTTACTCTCTGGATGTTGCAACCAAACGCAGAACATTAATGGTCCCTGAATTCAGGCACGCACCAACAAGCCTAGACGTGAAGCGCTGATACGTGTTGATATTTTGTCACTGGACAACTTTGCCTCACTGTTGCTGTTGTGCCTTACCACTGTTGCTACACTAGACTGTTTGATTTTTTTATTTAGTCCCAAATATATATATCAAGATTTAGCCTACTAGAGGAGACCCCAACACATGTGTCTAATTTCTGTCCCTCAAAGGAATAAAGAAACCTTTTTGCTTAAAAAAAAAAGTAGGTCAATAAGAACTTGCTAAAAAGTCTTCTAAAAACAGTCCCTGCCCTCAAGGAGCTCATAGTTTAATGGGGGGAGACAACAGGCAAACGACTATATACAAACAAGATACAAGCTAAATTGGAAGTGATCAACAGAGGGGGGCACTAGTTTTGGGGTTTTTTTTGCTTTTTGGTGAGGCAATCGGGGTTAAGTGACTTACCCAGGGTCACACAGCTAGTAAGTGTCAAGTGTTTGGTCTGAGGCCAAATTTGAACTTAGGTCCTCCTGACTTCAGGGCCAGTGCTCTATCCACTGTGCCACCTAGCTGCCTCGGGAAGACACTAGTATTAAGGGGGACTGGGAAAGGCTTCTTAGAAGGTGGGACTTTAGCTAGGATTTGAAGGAAGCCATTGAAGCTAGGAGGCAGAGATGAGGAGGGAGAAAATTCCAGGAATGAGGGACAGCCAGAGAAAATTCCTGGAGTCAGGAGATGGAGTGTCACGTGTAAGAAACGGTGTTACTGGATCACAGACTAAGTGCAGAGTAGTAAAGTGTAAGGAGACTGGAAAAGTAGCAAAGAGACAGGTTGTAAAGGGCTTTAAGAGCCAAACAGAGGGTTTTGTATTTTATCGCGGAGGCGCTAGGGAACCACTGGAGTTTATTGAATGGAGAGGTGACATGATCAGACCTACTTTTTAAGGAGATAAATTTGAAACCTGGAAAGACTTACAGGAACTGAAGCTGAGTGAAGTGAGCAGAACCAGAAGAACATGAAACACAGTGGCAGCAACACTGTGTGATGACTAACTTTGATAGATTTAGCTCTTTTCAGCAATTCAAGGATCTAAAACAACTCCCAAAGACTCATGATGGAAAATGCTATCCACATCCAGAAAAAAGTATGGAGTCAGAATGCCCATGGAAGCATACTATTTGCTCTCAATTTTTTTTTGTTCTTTCTTGTGGTTTTCCTCATTGGTTCTAATTCTTCTTTACAGCAGGATTAATGTGAAAATATGCTTAATATGAATGTATATGTAGAGCCTCTATCAGATTGCTTGCCATCTTGGGGAGGGGGGAGAGGAGGAGAAAATTTAGAACTTAAAATCTTATGGAAGTGAATGTTGAAAACTAAAAATAAATAAATAATTTTTTTAAAAAAAAGCAATAAATTTCCATTTCAAGAAAACCTTAAAAAAAAAAGAAGAAGATGACAAATTTGACAGCTGAATGAAGGATGGACTGGAGGGGAGAGAGCCTTGAGGCACTACTGCACAAGTCCAGCTGATGAAGACCCACCCCAGGATGGCGGCAAAGTCAAAGGAGAGCAGGTGACATACGTGAGAGATGTTATGAAGGTCAAACCAACAGAACTTAGCAACAGATTGAATGGGAAGGGGAGGGTTAAAGGAGAGAGAAGAGAGGTTGATGCTACCCAAGTATTAAGCCTGGGATCCTGGGAGGAAGGTGGTACCTTCCACAATAACAGGGAAATTAGGGAGAGCAGAGAGTTTGGGGGGAGGGGGGGGAAAGCTAATAAGTTTGGTTTCGTACATGTTGTGTTTGAAATAACTACAGGACACCCCGTTGGAGATTCCATTAGGCAGTTGGGGATGGATGTCTGGAGTTCAGGGAGACTGGAAGAGTAAATTTTAGAAGTATCAGCATAGAGATGATAACTGAATCGATGAGAGTTGATGAGATCACCACATGATAGAAGGAGAAAATAGAAGAGACAGAGTCCTACGGGATAGCCAGCATTAGGCTGAATGGCCTGGATGAAGCTCTAGCAAAGGAGAAAGACCCATCGGATGGGTAGGAGGAGAACCAGGAAACAGCAGTGTCATGAAAACCTAAAGAAAAGAAAGTCACCAGGAGAAAAGGGCGATCAAAAGTGTCAAAGGCTGCAGAGAGGTCAAGAAGGATGAGCATGGAGAGAAGACCAGTATAGCATCAGGTTTGGTGATTAGGACATCGTGAATAACTGGAGAGAGTAGTTTCTGTTGAATAATGAGGTCAGAAGCCAGGCTATAGACAATGAAAGGACCTGAAAAGAAGGTGGACGGAAGAAGGAAGTTACATGAACAGGGTATAATATTGAACTCTAGGAAGTCAGGAGCATCTGTAAGTTTCTTGAGGAAGAGAAACTGAATTATGAAAACTATCACACAGCACAGGATGGTGTTTGCCTAATGTTTGTTGTTTGAATGAATTGCAGTATTTAGATTGTGTGGTCTCCATGCTTCATAATTACAGTGTAGATGGAACAGAGCTTTTCTGGGGGACAGATTGCTAAATAACCAGTTATTTTGTTGCTAGCATGTATGCACAGTAATGGCACAAATGTAGTTCAAAGGCATAAGCGTAGCCTCTCTCATTTATCGAGCCCTGGATTTATTTGCATGCCAATCGGGAAGAATGATGGGAGCTGATAAGAATTGGGGATAATCTCTTACGCCCAATCCTCACACAACTTCTGTGGAATTTTGTGACTGAAGTGTCCCAAAAATGAGTTTGGGGATACAGATGGTCAATCAGAGATTTAACAATTCTTAAAAAGACTTTTCTAACCTCAAGTCACAGCATTGGCTGGGAAGAGAGGAGTAAAAGTTGGAAGCAGGAGACAGTCAAAAGAGTAGACTTAACCTCAGTTTGGAACCTTGACTGGATTTTGCTAGATATAGTGGTACATAACCTTTAAATACATATTAAAAAAGCTATTCCTTGGTAGGGAAGGGCTTACTAGCCACTACACTCTATGGCCTGAAGACCTGAAAACAGTAGCAAAGAATAGCTCAACAAGGAAAAATATCAGTGGACCAATCACATCCAGAAGAGATGATATAACAAACAGTGGATGAGTGATAGTCGTTAAAGATCATACCAGCAGTAAGAGAAGGTACATAAAGAGTAGAAGTGAATAACT